AAGACGAAGAAATTGCGGAATGGTCGTCTCTTTCGCCTCTTTTTTACTGTTTCGAGAAATGAAATTAAAAAGCAAAGAACGTAGATGAAAATAAGAAAGCAAATGTAATGTTTCCATCACATAGAGCATCCCACTTCCCAACACACAGTGGACCCTACACGTAGATAAATTGAATGCAATTGCATGTGTGATATGAAAATCCTCTGACATGAATGAATTGAAAATTGGGAAGACATTTATGTTAACGGTGGGCGAAACGACCAATCGTAGCAAATGTTACGGGGCATCAAAATAGGCATTTTCAAACTATTATTTCGAGAATTTCAATAACAAGCTAACTTTAAAAATTCATCGACGATTCTATGGTAATCAAATCAATAAATCTTCTATATTCTTCCGAAACTCATTTCGAGAACATTATCATAGACACATTGAATGATCTAAACGAATATTGAAAATAGTTAAACGTATATCAAATGTGTGCATTAAAAAATGCGTAAGACTCGTCTTTTTTTAAAAAAAATATTATTTTATTAATATTTATTATTTTTTCGCCACAATTTTCTCAATATAATTTACATCATTTTGTTAAAAAAATTATGTGGTATGACATAATTTTTTTTTAGAATGTAAAAAGTTACTTAGAAGTAAAAAAACTCACTTCAAGTTATTTCAAAGTAATAAAAAAATTTATAATTGTAAAAACTACTTGTAGATAAAAAAATATATTAATCACTCCCCTTATAATTGTAAAAGCTACTTATAAATAAAAAAATATTAACTTAAAATCTTTTAAGTATAAATATTTAGATCTATTTATTTTTTTAAATTAAATATTAATAAAGAGATTACACTATCTAGAATGTAAAATGTTACTTATAAGTAAAAAAATCACTTCAACTTATTTAAAGTAATAAAAAACTGACANCTTATAAGTAACAAAATATAGTAATTTATAGTAAATAAAAATATTTTTTATTTTATTTATAGTAACTTTTTTAAATATTAATCCCTCTTATAATTGTAAAAACTACTTATAAGTAAAAAAAAAAGTATGAACTTAAAATTTTTTAAGTATAAATATTTAGATATATTTAGTTTTTTAAACTAAATATTAAGAAAAAGATTACTATCTAGAATGTATAAATTTAATTATAAGTAAAAAAAATTCACTTCAAATTATTTAAAAGTAATAAAAAAAACTTATAAATGTAAAAGCTACTTATAAGTAAAAAAAATTCACTTCAAATTATTTAAAAGTAATAAAAAAAACTTATAAATGTAAAAGCTACTTATATGTTGAAAAATATTAATCCATCCATCTCTTATAATTGCAAAAGCTATTTATAAGTAAAAAATATTAACTTTAAATTTTTTAAGTATAAATATTTGATATGTTTAGTTTTTTAAATTAAATATTAATAAAAAATTACACTATCTAGAATGTAAAAAGTTACTTATAAGTAAAAAATACTTCAAATTATTTAAAAGTAATAAAAAAAACTTATAATTGTAAAAGTTACTTATATGTAAAAAAATATTAACTTCAACATTTTAACATAAATATTTAAATATATTTAATTTTTTAAATTAAATATTAATAAAAAGTACTTTAAATAAAATTTAAAAAAAAAAATTATGTGGAGTGGAAACACTCCATGGACGGAGTGGAAATTCTCACTTTGTGCATAAAAGTGAGAAACACTGCACGGAGTGTTTCTCACTCCACATGTGTTTTGTTTTTTTTTTTTTTTTTTTTTTTTTTTTTAAAAAAAAGTGATTCCTTATTTCTAAAATATAAAAAGTTACTTATAACTAAAAAACCACTTCATGATATTTAAAAGTAAAATGAACTTATAATTGTAAAAGCTACTTATAAGTAAAAAAAATATTAACTTAAAATTTTTGAAGTATAAATATTTAGATATATTTAGTCTTTTAAATTAAATATTAATAAAAAGATTACACTGTTTAAAATGTAAAAAGTTACTTATAAGTAAAAAAATCAATTCAACTTATTTAAAAATAAAAAAAATTAGATAATTGTAAAAGCTACTTATAGGTAATATATATATATATAATTGCTAAAGCTACTTATAAGTAAAAAAAGTATTAACCTAAACTATTTTAAGTATAAATATTTAGATATATTTAATTTTTTAAATGAAATATTAATAAAAAGATTACACCATCTAAAATGTAAAAAGTTACTTATAAGTAAAAAAATCATTTCAAATTATTTAAAAGTAATGAAAAAACTTATAATTGTAAAAGCTACTTATAGGTTAAAAAAATATTAACTTCAACATTTTTAATTATATATTTAGATATATGTAATTTTTTTAAATTAAATATTAGTAAAAAAAATTTACTACAAATAAAAGTTAAAACACACACACACACACACACACACACACACATATATATATATATATCGTGCACAGAGCGATGTTTGCTTCGTGCACGGAGCATTGCTCAAATTTAATTTTTTTTTACTTATATTTTTGTTTTCATTTCCGAACTCCTTATATTTTTGTTTTCATTTTCGAACTCATTACGTGAACCAAATGAAATCGAAATATTACATTTTTGATATCATTTTGAAGTACTTACGGCATAGTGTTACACGTCGTCAATAGTGCGCGAAACGACCAATCGTAGAAAATGTTATGGAGCGTCAAAATAGGCATTTCCAAACTATTATTACGAGAATTTCGATAACAAGTTAACTTTAAAAATTTATCGACGATTATACGATAGTCAAATCAATAAATTTTATATATTCTCTCGAAGTTCATTTCGAGAACTATATTATAGACAAATTGAATGATTAAAATGAATATCGGAAATTTTTAAACGTACATCTAACATATGTGTTAAAAAATGCATATAACTCATCTTTTTTTTAAAGAAAAGACAATTATTTTATTAATATTTATTATTTTTTCTCGACAATTTTCTCAAAAAATTACTTCAAGTTATTTAGAAGTAAAAAAAAATTTATAATTGTAAAAACTACTTATAAGTAAAAAATATTAACTTAAATTTTTAATTAGATATGTAGATATATTTAATTTTTAAAATATATTTTACACTAACAGATTTATCAAAATGAAATTTGCCAAAAAAAAAAAAAAAAGAAGAAGAAGAAGATCTATCTCTTCGTGCACGGAGAGCTTTCTCCGTGTCGCTCTCCATACACGGAGACACTTTAATATTTTTTTGTTTAATTTTTTTTTTTTTTTTTTGGAATAGGGAGACAATTCTTTCTACTGTAAAACGCAACTTTTTATACTTATCACCAACTCTCATCTCCTCACTCTGTCTTGAACCACTTTTATTATTTAAGTAAAAAATCACTTTTATGTAAAAAATTATTAAAAAATAAACATACTAATAATAAGACAAAATTTAAGTATATATTTAAAAATAAAGGAATCACTTTTATGTAAAAAAAATATTTCAAAAAATATTATTACTAATAAAATTATAGGATATTGTTGATCGTTGATAACATGAGAAAATGGAGGAAGAGTGTCGGATTCAAACAATAGAGCAAATTATTTTAAAAAATATTATTACTAATAAAATTATATGATATGATTGATAGTTGATAACGTGAGAAAATGAAGAAAAAGTGTCAGATTCAAAGCAAAGGAGAAATATTGCAGTGGAAGTGGCGTGTAAAGAAATTGCTATAGTGTATTTTAATGTAATAATTTACTATTGCTAATACCGTTTCAAACAGGTTTAATGTGAAAACTAGTGTGACAAAAATGAATAGTAAACCTCAAATTCTCTCTTTTAAGGTAAAGTAGGAAAATAAGATATTCTTAAATAAAATAAAAATCTTCTAACGCCCTTATTTCTCACGACAAAGCATTCCTTATTTGGGGATCAGGGAACAATCAAAGATTCTAATAGTGATGTGGTGAGTGCTTCCATGTTAATAATATTAGTTTTTTTCAACTGTTACGCTATGTGTTTAAAAGGTTAGAAATACCTTTGATCGTAATGTTCTATAAATACTCAGAGTTGATCAAAGAAAATAAATGCAATATAAAACCTTAGCCAAAACTTTGTCTATTTATTTCTTTTTTTTTGACAAATTACTTGATCGTTAAAGTGCAAACGGTTAGTACTAAACACCCCTTGAAACCACGATCTTTGTGTGCTAATTAGGGGCGGACGCAGGCATTTTAGACTAGGGGGTCAGTAACAAATTTTTAAAAAAAGTGATGAAAAAATTAAAATAAGATATATCTTATTACAATTACTCTCTACGTGTTCTCATACTTTGATAACGTTCCATAATTACATCATTTTCAATCTTATCAAAAACATCTTTCTCGATATATGCAATCAAATTATCATTCAACCATTGATCTCCAATTCGATTGCGCAGACGATTTTTGACGTAAATCATCGCAGAAAATGCTCTCTCGACTGTAGCAGTAGCCACGGGAAGAACTAAGGTTAGTGTCACAAGTTTGTAAACTAATGGATACATTTCATGTTTATTCTTCACAACCAACTTCTGTGCAAGATCGCTAATGCCTTGTAATTCTTCAAAGTCTTCAGAAGTGCGCATATCAAGAATATACGTATCTAGTTGATCATCAAGTTCTACGATATCTGCTGCATCAAAATCTACCGGATAATACTGACATAGTTGAATCAATTTGATCTTGTCAAAAGCAACAAATAAATTATTTGGAGATAAACACGCAACACAAATAAGCAAGTCACTATTTACTTCAGAAAAACGATCATTCAACTCTTGAAATTACACATCAATGACGGCATAAGATATTTTCACATGAAAATGATGCAATTTGTCACTGTCTCACGCCGTGAACGACCTACAGTTACTAACATATCATCCATATCGGGAACATTGATCTTGTGAGTTTCACAAAATGAACAAATCACTCTCAAAAAAGAATCACATCCATCATCTCTCATGGTTTGGAGCCGTGTTTTACATATTTGCACCAATTTCATAGCATTGCAATATCTTGATCTTTTCTTTGTAATGCTCTTGACAATTCGTTTGAAATCCCTAAAATCCTTTTCATGAGATGTAGATTAAATGCAAATTCAAATCTTAACATCAACTCCAATAAAATACATGCATCACCTCTTGTTCCGGTACTTGTAGTATCAGTAGCAATCATCTCAATGACGTCGACTATAGTTGCAAACATGGCAATCAAATTAATTAAACAACTATAGTGAGAGCCCCAACGTGTATCACCAAGACGCTACAGAGTAATTTCTTGATTGAGACCCCGTCCGCTTGATATTTCACCAACACTGAGTGATTCAAGAATTTTCAATCTTTGGTTCTCTCGAATAAGATCACTCCGTTCAGCTGATCCTCCAACAATATTCACCAATCTATGTACTGTAGTGAAGAAAGTTTCAATCTTCGGATGTTTCTGTGCCACAACTACAAGAGCTAGTTGAAGTTGATGAGCAAAGCAATGAATGTAGTAAGCACTTTGATTTTCTTTCAAAATAAGTGCTTTGAGGCCATTATACTCACCTCGCATGTTACTAACTCCATCATATCCCGACCTCTCCAATTAGATATGCTTAAACTTTGCGTTGAGAATAATTGATCAATTGCAGCCTTAAGTGAGGCAGCTGTGGTAGTCAAAACATGAATGACACCAATAAAATGTTCCAATATACACCCATTCTTCACAAAACGAATGACAACTGACATTTGCCCTTTCACAGAAATGTCTCGAGATTCATCAACTAAAATTAAGAAGAAACTATCATGAACATTTTCGATAATCACATGTAGACATTCAGAAGCAATAGCACTTACAATATTTTTTTGCACTCTTGGTGATGTCAATTTCAAATTCTCAGGTGCATTTGTCAAAGTAACAGCCTTAATCTCAGGATTATGATCACACAACCAATGCAATAGTTCAAGAAAGTTTCCTTGATTGTTTGAATCTTCAGATTCATCATATCCACGAAATGTCATCCTTTGTTGTAGAAGAAATCGAACACAATCAATTGAAGCATTTAATCGGATTCGATAATTTGTTCGAGCTTGATACGATTGTTTAACGAGACAAGATCGAGTACTTTGTTCTTGATTTTTGAACAATTCATATTCGACCCGAGCTTGATTGTGTGCACTACTTGAAGCCCCAACGAGTTTTCTTATATATTCTTTCTTTTTCCAATTTGAGAATACGCCTTTAACAAATGAACCACCATTCAAACTGAAAAGATAAAAATAAAAGCAAAATATTGCATCCTTTGCTATACTGTATTCCAACCAAGTGGGATGCTTATTATACCACGAAACACAAAATTGTCAGTGTATTTTACCTATTCTTGTGGGTGGAAATATATGATTGCAAGACTAACAAGGACCTCTTTGCATATATGCTCTTCGAATCACATCTCGAATATTAACATCATAATTCTGTATTGGAACTCTCAATCCAGGATCAGAGGGAAGCTGTGCAACATCGACATCCCCAACATCTCCAATATCTTCAACATTTCCTCCACTATCCCCAACATCTCCAATATCCTCAATATTTCCAACGTCTCCAATACTCTCCAAATCCAACATCAACATCTCCAACATCAACGTCTCCAACATCTCCAACATCAACATCCCCAATACCCCCAACATCTCCAACATCAACATCAACATCAACATCCCCAACATCGTTTTCATCCCTTTTCTTTCGAACGTTCCTTTCGCCGATATTTTATTCATCACAAGAAATCGTAGATGTACGTTTAAAGTATTTTTCCATAATTGAAACAAACCAAAAATGAAAAATCAACAAGATTAGAAATGCCTAAATCAGTTTATACTATGTCATACCTACCAAAAGTCAGACAAAGTTTCAATCTTCGCAAATCAATATTATCAATTTATATATAAATAAGTAACAAAGCCCTAAATCAGAAAAAGGTCAATTTCCTAAATCAAAGCTCTAAATCAGAAATCCCTAAATTACATTTATTGGACAGGAACCGAACAAGAATCATAATTGATTAATTGTATTGTACATAAATCCAAATTTAGAAATAGAACTAACTAACTGGCTAAGGCTATTGACTATTGCAAAGGCAGCAGAGCAGTTACGATCTTATGGAGAAGAGTTCAAAGAAAAAATTTGAGTAAAGCTTCTAACCTTCAAGTCAGTAGAACTGATCCGGCCCTGACTGATTGCCGAAGAGATTGACGGGTCGTCGGGTCGGGCATTGGCTATTGCAGTCGCATGGAGGCGGTCCAGGTGGCCGACTAGCCAGTGCATGGCAGCGTGTGTGGGAAAGACTAAAGAGAGGCAGTCAGGCAAAAACGATTGGCTACAGCTTGTAGGGACGGACCGGTGGGTGAGTGCTTCAATGGTGGGAGTGCACTGTGCGAGAGCCAGAGAGACAAGAGTCGAGAGAGAGATATACTGTAGAAGCAGGGAAGAAATTGTGAATGTTGTTTTGTCTATTTTGAGTTTTGACCTGCTAATTTGTTTATTAAAAAAAATACCTTAAAACTAGAGGGTCAATTGACCCTATATGCCCCCCCTTCAGATCCGCCAGTGGTGCTAATAGTGTCCAAGCATATAAGTAACACACAAGTAGAAGGAGAGAGAAAGGAATCTGTTAACAATTGAGTAGATCATATTTGAATGTTAATAATTATTAATTGTCCTTGTATCCCTACTATATAAAAAAAGGGAATGTGAGGGCACTGTAGAAAGCAACAGTGTCTTGATCCATCTTTACAGTAGCAATTTTTTTTTGTCAATTTGGGGGCTAGCAACGACGCCGTTTGCTTGATATATGATGCGAACCCCATAGCAACGTTGACTACGAAACCCACAACGAGATTGACGAACCCAAGAAAGTCAAATTAATCCAAGAGTTTAGGATTAACCCAAAAGAAAGTCGAACCAAAAAATCCAACAAGAACGACGCTTGAAAGACTTCTTGATCACGCAATCCAAGAATTAAATCCGGTTGTTTGAACGCCACAAGTTAACACTTGATAAGTTCGAAATTGTTCAATGAAGAACGATGAATAAAAGACAATACGTCTCACTTTTAATTCAATATCAATAATGTCAAAGGTTTTTTAACAATTGAATGGAAACTCCTATTTATACTAAACCTAAAAATTAGGTAAAAATCGTGCAAAAGTCAAGCATAATCTCCAAAATATGGAAAAAAATCCAAATCTAACAAGATATGAAAAATTGCTAAAATTGGGAAATTCGCCAAATTTTTGGCCTGTGCAGCCGCATGGTGTAAATCCTTGCAGTCGCATGGTTCAATTGAAATTGCACTTTTGATTTTCAGTATGCATGTGTGCGGCCGCATGTGGTTTTGCCTGTGCGGCCTCATGGTGTTGTCTTCAGCCTCAACTTTCGTCGCTTGATAACAAATTGATCTAAGTTGATTCGGTCTTCGACCCGAACATGAAAGTTGATCCATTTTGAGTCCCGAATATGGTTCCATCAATGGTTTCTTGAACGAGCAATCTCATCGCTTGTTTCACTTGCTTTGCCCTTTATCGCGTCATTGGTCCGTCATCGACTATCAACGGGTCTCGTCTCGCACTTGCCTTCGTCGGGCTCAACTCCTGGATCATATCAATATATATTTTATTTTATTGTATCCTTATCTCCAAATTTACTGCAACACGCAATTTCCATTCCTCCCCACTCCGATATAGATATATATAGTATGGATATAAGAAAAATATCACTTTTATATTAAAAAAAAAAAAGAGATAGAAATAATATGCGACAAAAATATTTTACAACGTATTACTTGGTAATTAAAAATTTTGAAAAGAAAACAATTAAAGAGAATTATAAATTGAAAAAAAAATTTATAACTAAAACTACACAGAAAAAAAAATAATAATAATAATAAGGTAATCTCTCCGTGCACGGAGACATTGGTCTCCATGCACGGAGATAGTGTCTTCGTGCACGGAAGAAAAAAAAATATGTTGGAG